AAACAGAATATAATATTTTGTATTTATTACAAATAAAATGAAAATTGTTTATTAAAAAATTTGCAATTTATAAATGATAAAAATAATAAAATACACATTTTAATAGATATACAAAGATTTTTGAATTTCATACAGAATACTTACATTATAAATATTTGTATAAATATGTTATATTCGAACCACTGATATATGTATGTATTAAATCTCCTCCACTGACTGATGTATGTACACCAATTCATTACCTATATTATACAAAGTTCCTTCTACATTTACTTTAATAGTTTTGGTTTCCATATCAACATTAAATGTAGAATTTGGTGGAATTTGAGTTTTATCTTTTAAAATATCATCAACCACTGGTTTACTTCTGGGACCCAGACCAGGATCATTATAACGATACAGAGAAATCGACGATGGAGCTATAAAATAAATAATGTAGATTATATGTACTGATTACAATTGATAGTGATTTGATTACGCACATTTTATTTGCTTATTTTCTTTTAGTAATCGCGATGTGACATCCTCTACAGTATCCGTATCACTTAATTTTATAGTCGTTCTAAATAAAGCACTGCATTTCTGTGGATTCATAAGGCATACTGAAATTCCAGGTTTAGTAGAAAAATTTATATAAGGGGCACCTGGACAGCATTCTTCTCTCGTTTTTTCTGGAGCTTCATCGCTATACTTTATTGTAATACTCTCCAGCTACGTGTGAATAAAAATTATTAAATTACCACAAGTTTGAATGAAAATATATAAAGGTTTAGATTGCTTACATCTAGAGTAATTTCAAGATACTTTTTATTATCTTGAAGAACTTTAAATTCATCGAAATCTAACGTTAAATTAAGCACACTTAATCCACCGACTTCCATTTTCTCCTTTATATCTTGTACAAATGGCATTACTCGTTTCGTGTACTTTTTCAATTCTGGTAGTTTTCCCAATTCTTCTGCAATAATTTTGTTTTCTGGTAGTTTGTCATTTATCTGTAAAACAATTCAGTGTGAAATATCTTAATATAAATATATAAACTGATTATATTTTAAACGTACTTTAGAATAATTACTTACAAGGTATAAATCTTTAATTATAGTTAAAATAGTGCTTTGCCAAGAAGGATATGTTTTTGCTACCCAAATTGTACCTTGAGTAGGTTTTTCTATAACTGATGTTTGAAATTTTCCTTTTGGTCCTTTTTTTGGCGTTGTATAACTTTTTAGGAGAATCCTAAATGAATGAGCAGCATCCATAAGATATTGTGATGATTTTATAAGAACATCATTTATTTCTCCTATTTTAGGCCATTTAGCATTTAATATACTACCTTCCTATTAAGAAAAATATATGATATTACTGAAGCTAATAAAATCACTGTTGAACTTTATTACTTTTTTTTTTAAATATACAGGGTGATTCACCTAACTTCACGACTTGAAATTGCTTGTAAATTATTCGCTGTACGAAATAGTGCATGAAGCAAAAGTTGCATAACTTCAAGGGAGATATATGTATGTTATAATAACTGTTTTTTTCTGTATTGTTTTTATACATAAAGTTTTGAAGGTCACAATGATTTTTTTAAACGGATCACCCTATATTTCTTTCCGGAAATTAAAAGAGCATTAAAAACTGAGTAAATAAATATTAAGGTGTAATATGTCTAAAATAAGTATTTATTGAGATATTTATGATAAAAGTCTGATAAAAGTTTCTATTGAAATCAAATTTACACAAAAACACAGAAGTATTTGATTTCAATAGAATAGAACTTCTATTGTAAATATCTCAATAAATACTCATTTTAGACATATTACACCTTAATATTTATTTACTCAGCTTTTAGTGCTCTCTTAATTTTTGGAAAGAAATATAGGGTGTTCCATTTAAAAAAATCATGGTGACCTTCAAAACTTTATGTATAAAAACAATGCAGAAAAAAACAGTTATTATAACATACATATATCTTCCTTGAAGTCATGCAACTTTTGCTTCATACACTATTTCGTACAATGAATAGTTTACGAGCAATTTCACGTTGTCAAGTTAGGTGAATCTCACCCTGTAAGCAATCAGTATGAGAAAGTTGCATATTAAGTATAAAAACTTACTTTACCAATTAGTGTCCACACATATTCTGTTACATGTGGGCAAATAGGACATAAAACAATAATTTGAAGTTCTATGAATTTCATAATCAACATCCAATTAATGCCATCCAGCGCACTCAACTGTAAATACTTGTCTCTTGCTGCTTGTAACTCAAAGAATCCTGTTTTCAACGCATCCTTGTACAACATTTTGGAATAATTTTCTCCAGTCTCTCGTATTTTCAGGTTCATTTCACTGGTTCGATTATAAATTTACGATTGACTTCATGAAGTAAAACTTAAAATGTATTTTAATAAATACCTTTCAAAAACTTCATCGTTAAACGTTTGCGGTTTTCCTTCTCTAAAAGTACTTTTTGAAGCCAACACTTCTTTGACCCATTCAATAAAATTATATAGTTTAAGAATTCCAGCATCGGCCATATTTTCTACGAAATTAGCATCTTCTATTGAATCACCAGAATCGGCTAAACAGAGTCGCGTACCATCTGCCGAGAACTTTTCTACAGCTTCGGAAAGTGTTAAGAAATTACCTTCCGATTTTGACATCTAAAAAATCGTACTTGTAATTTATATTCTTCCGTTGAAATTATTGATGCATGAAAGAAACAAAATTTTATTACTTTGGCTGAATTTAGTAGTAAATGACCATTTGCTCTTATTCCTTTCGGCCATAACTCAGGTTGTTCAGGCCACATCGCGGTATGATTATAAATAAAAAACGTTAGATGGTTTTGTATTAAATCTTTTCCAGATACTCGTAAATCTACTGGATACCAATAGTTGAATTCACGACGCATATGATTCAATGCTTTTTTTTTTATATTTGTTTTTGGAAATTTTGCATCTTTGAAGAAAATATAATCCCATACTTCTGACGTCATTTCATCAGCCCTGAATAAAATTGTTATTTTAATATGCAGCGTGTGTGATTTATCTGAGAACACTTCAATATCTCGAACAATGTGGATAACACGGAAAAATATGAGACAAAAATTGTAGGGTACATATGATGTTTATATTTATTTGACCTTGCGATGACTCTGAAAAGCTCTATGAAAAGTACAGTTAAATTTTTAAATGGACACCTATACTTTTTATTACACAATCTTGTAGTTGACGTTAAAACGTTTTCAAAACACTCCTTACACGTGTATTTTGCACTAGTCAATGTCGAGATATTAAATTTCAAATCTGGCGTACCGCCTGCATTAGTGTTACCTGATGTACATCGCGGGGAAGTTGCACGGTCGGACTTTGTACATCACGATGTCTCTAAAAAGAACCGTGCGTATGGGAGAGAGAGTGTGTGTGTGTATGTGTGTCAAAATACTCCTACTAAATTCTCACTTTTCCTTTAATGTGTTTTCCATCAAGTAATATACAGCTATCCATCCTTCTTAAAACTTCTTGCTCTACATTTTTCAGCATTTCTGGTGTAATTGTTTGATATGTGTTTGTGATCCTTCTT